CCACAATACCGACAAGTGATTAATAAAAGTCAAAAGACCAAAGAGGTCACCTTAATACCAAAAAAAAAAAAAAAAACAAGTAATATTTACAGATGCTGATTTAGCAATAGCTAGTGCAATACATTCAGAATTTCTAATTTCTGTTTATTGCTTGTGTTTATTTCATATTGATCTCAATATAAAAAAGAATTTAAGAAATAAGCTTAATTCAAGTGAATTTATGAAATTCTGTAAAGACTTTTTTATATATAGAAATACTTTAGTTGCAGAGTTATTTGAAAGTTGTGAAAAGCTTTAAAATCCAAATATGTTTTAGCAGCAAGTTATATAAAATGCCAATTAGATCTGTCAAAGACAAAATAGGCTGTATGCTATATAAATAAACAATTTACTGCAAGTGCTAACAGCATCCAACATGTAAAAAACTTTAATTGTAAAATTTATAGTTGTATTAGGTCTAACTCGTCCCTGTTAGAATTGGTTAAAAAAATTCAAGACTTACTTGATAAAGAATCTGACTCTATAAGATTGAAAGAATATAAAAATGAGATTCCTATAGTTGGGCTTGCAACAATACCTAAAACATTTTTTAATTTGATTGAAGCAACTATATCATGATATCTTATGTCAGTAATAGTTTTTAAGGTTTGTAAGCAAATGCAAGAGTGTTTTTTTTATGATTGTATAAGAATTAACAATATAGATCTTGAGTCTATATTGCAAGAACTATCAGATACAGATTATAGTAAAAGAATGCATGAGGATAATTATGAGGTTATAAAAAATCATCTGAACAATATAGTTGAAACAGTTGGGCATATACAAATTATAGAAATTTGGAAACTAGTAATGTCTAGTGGGATTAAAAGTCAATATATTATACTTGTAGCAGATGAATCTTATATATATACTTGTAACCTTCTTATTATACATGGTTATTCATATAGGTATTTTTATAAAATATTATGCTGCTCTTCTTAAGCCAAATGGCATATAGGTCTTATTGCAAGTCAATAGTACAAAGATGATTTAATTGAACATGATAACAACATTTGGCAACAACCATCTGTTACATTATATATTAATTCTAATCAAAATATCAACAATCATATAAGTAATTTTGGATATATTAAAAAAGCTCATAATCTAGATGTTTATACATCAGTGTTACAAAAACTTAATAGTACTAAACAAAAATATAGTTGTGCATAAAGTATATTTCGAAAGGTTTTGGATTTAGTAATAGTGACAATTTTCTATAATAAACTAATAGGTATATGTCAAGGTTTTATATTAGATAAACAAAAAAAGCAAGGATTATCAAAAGATGATAAGTTTAATATTGAAAACCCAGTAGTTACACCTTGAAAAAAAAGGCCACCTGGAAGAGCTAAAAGCACAGTTGAACTTCAAGATAATTAGACAAAAAAGCATCATTATTTATAGTCAATAAATGATAATCAAACATTTAATGAACCTAGAACTGCTAATAGAGAAATTAAGAAAAAGAATATACATAAAACATGTCAAAATTGTGGGAAAAAGGGCACAATAGGGCAATATGTGAAAATTAAACATTGTAGATAGTTTTCAATATATATAGCTTTTAATATATAATAAAAATTTGGCTTTAATAATTTAATATTATACAACTTTATGTTCAAATATATTTAATGCTATACAACTTTACATTAGTATAAGTTAGGATATAATTATTGCTATACAACTTTATGTTAGTATAAGTTAGAATAAGTTGGTTAGTTAGTTGTTAGTTAGGATTATAAGTTAGGATTAGTTAGTTAGTTGAATAGTTATTTGTTATTTAGTTTTAATAAAGATAACTTTACATACTGATATAAACTTATTTAATGTTAAATTTTAGTATTAGTGTTAGAGTTAGAGTGATAATATTTTTTAACTGTTTAGCCTTTGTTTATTAAATTCTATAATATTATACAGTATATTAATATATTAATATTATATAAAAAATGCTATATAAAAGAATGTTATATAAAAATATTATATAAAAGAATGTCATGAAAAATATTACATTAAAGAATGTTACATAAAAAATATTATACAAGAGTAATATTATATAAGAAAAAGGTTATGCAAAAGTAATGTTACATAAGAAAATATTGCATAAGCATAATGTTATACAAGAAAAAATATCATACAAGAGTAACATTATATAAGAAAAATCACTATATAAGTATATTATACGAAAGTAAATATTACATATTGCGTAATCTGGTAAAATCATCACTAGTTAAGATTAGCAATTAACTAATATTATATATTATGCTATATTAAAAATCTACTTTATAACAATATATAGCAAATATTTAATTTAATTAAATAATTTTGCAAAAAGTTATATAATATCAAAACTATATTAGTGCAATATTTTATAGTTACAAAATAAATTAGTTGTTATAATAAAAATTAAAACATAAAAAATCTTAAAATATGGTTTTTATTTTATAAATTGTTAAATTAAAACAAAGATTTACAAAATAAAATAAGTATTTATTTATAAAATATTTACTATAAGGATAGTGATCCTAATGTAGTAATTATGTTGTCATCCTTCAAGTGGCAGGTTTAAGGTTCAAATCCCATCTATGATGAAATTTGAAAATTAATCTATATTACAAAAACTGTCTTTTGTTAATTAGTTGGCCTTATGTAACTGTAATCCAGGTACATCAAGTCAGGTCCTACTCATTATTGAAAGCTTAGAGCATTTATATGAAGTATAATATTACATGTATATAGAGGAATGTTAATAACTGATATTGTATAAGACTTTAGTGCAAATCTATAATAAGACTGCCAGGCACAGAAGACTAAAGAACTGAGAAGATAGAATCTCACTTAGAAATTTTTAAGTAAAAAAATAGCACAAACTTTCAACAATGCTGTTAAACTAATAAAAGTCCACAAACCATCTTTATAGGAACAGGCAGATAAATCAGATGACAAGATGTATAAAAGAGCATATAACCAACCAGGCTGCTAGAATTGCCAAAAAAAAAGGATACTAAGGTATATTATACCAGGTAATCTAAATTGAAAATCTAGAGAGTCTGTTGGTTCTAAGTTGCAGTTAGTAGAGAATAATAGAAAAGATGTCAGAAAGATAAGTACCAGTGTTTAGATGAACTTTACAAGATAGAAATAGTATAATATAGCAGTTTAAGATTAGCCCTGATTGCAAATGTTAGATAACTATAATGTATTATATAAAACTAGAAATTAAAACTATTTAATCATTTAAAAATTGCTTCATAGTTCTAAGCAGAATTATGTTAGTCATAGGCTAGAATTATTTTAATGTCAGCCAAATTAAACAGTTAAACAATTAAATAATTAAACAATTAAGAAAAATTTTAAACAGTTTTAATCTCTACATAAAACTAGATTAGCTGTATATGAAATACAGAAAGCCTAGTAATAATGCTTTTAAGAACAGGAATAGTAAATGACTAGGTTATTTACTAATTTTACAAATAACCTGAAATGACCTCATAATGACTAGTTATTATGGTCATTTGAATTTCAGATTATTTGTAAATAACTCATGACCAAATGATCCAGGTTATTTAGAAATAACCTGAGTTATTTGGATCATTAGGGTCATTTGCAAATGACTTATGAAATGACCTAATCATTTCAAAATAATCTAGGTCACTTCAAAATGACTAATATCATTTGCTATTTGCAAATAACTCATAAAATGACCCAGTTATTTAGAAATGATCTAGGTCATTTAGAAGTGACCTAGGTTATTTAGGTCATTGGGTCATTATGTATAAAATGAATTATTTAATATTAACCTTGAGCTTTCATAACTTATGCAACTTTATACATAAATGATGCAAAATGAAAACAGAAATTCTAAAAAATTTATCTTTATTTCTAATTTTTCTACTGATTAAATTATAATACCAAAAAGTTTATTTATAGATTCTTTTTAGCAAATTCTCAATTTTATTTCACATACTATACATATTCATACAAAACAGATCTTTGTTATCTTTTAAAAAAAGAATTATTTTATTTATAATTTGTCATATAAGTGTTTTATGTCTATGTGTCATATGAATAATTATTATGAAATTTATTATAAAGTATTTGTTCATGTTTAATTCTATATTTATTTCTATACTACCTAAAGTTATCATTATATTTGTTCAAATGAATTATCAGCTTCAGATTTTAAAAATTACCTAACCAACAAAATTACCTCCTTAAGCAGATTTTAAGTATAACTCAAATGCCTTTTTTTATCTTGCTGTCTTTAACAACACCTATATCATTTCTAAAAATCCAGAATTTAATTGTTTGCATGATTATTACTTTTGGTAGATTTTAGATGTCTTTTTTTTATTTATATAACATCAATGCCATATTGATAACAATATTTGAGGTTACATTGTTTACTGAAATCTTCAATTTTTAATAATGTCTTTTTATTGTTAATAATGCTAATGCCATTCTAATAACAGGGTCTATTATTTTTTGTTTACCAGAAAATTATACAATTGGTTAAAAAATAAAAGAAACAGATGCTTCTAATGGATCAATAAACAATTTTAATAAATTCTATTTCACCAATAGATTATCTGCTGAATGAGTAGTGCATTCACCTAACTCAACTTTAAATAATTCATTATTTGCAATTTCATCACTATCCTTATTATTTAAAGTATTAACCCAGTTTTTAATCATATGTGACCAATGTTCTTCATTAAAAGTTTCAGTATCATCAATTATATCCTTATCAGTTACCTCAAAAGTTTTGCTTGACTGAGTTGTTGAATTGTCAGAAGCTAATAAATTGCTCTCTTTATTATTAGTTGTAGCATATAAAAAAGTTTCTGTTGATTCTTCTTGTATAATGAAATTGTAGTCAGGTTGAATAGGTGTTGCAATATGGATTTATTTATATTGTTGTTTAGCTTTTTTGGCTTCATTGTGTTTTCGCTTGTTTAAGATATCACTGCACAATTGGCTCATAGCTATTACTTTGCTAGACTTAAAGCAATAATTAAAAATAGTAATATAAATTATAATATATTAAAATAAGCATGATATAAATATGTAACAGATTTATCAATAAAGTTAAGAAAAAATTTCAAAAGTTTGTCTAAGAAACTGCCCTCATAATTTTGAAATAGACTGTGTTTAAATCTTTTTTTTAACTCTCTTTAATCTAACCTTAACATTCAAACCTATTTAATATGAGACGATTTGAATCAATAGTCATAACCTGGCACACATTTTAGTCTTGCTTAAAATAACAAATACCTGTAAATAATTTTGATTTTTGTATGTAAAAAACCCATTGTTGACTATAAATGTTCAACTGATGCAGAATTAATATAAATACCAAATAGTTATAGTGCCAATTGAGATAATTCTAGTGCAAAACCTTTAGCTAACTCCCAAAAATCAATAATATTTTTATCAAATTAATCATATGTTTCCTTATTAAAAGGAAACATCTCTCTTTGATATAATAAAAATTCATGTAAAATATGTATTGGCATCTTACCAAACTATGCATGATAATAGTAATTTAACTATTGACCAATGTGTGAATAAAATAGACCAGTAATGTTAGAAGAAAATTTTGAGAGATGATATTTTGGATGTAAAACAAATGACAGAAGAATTAAAGGTTGCTCCTATTAAGCCCACTGATTTTTCAATTATGTTATCATATATTCAGAAAAATTCTCATCTTTATGGTCTGCAAATACTTTAATGAGTTATCCAAAACAATACATAATTTCGAAAAGTCTCGCAACATTTTTTTGAAGCTTATTTAATATTCTACATAATGGAAATAACAAATTTTGGAGTTTATAGAGCTGGACCCAAAAATTAAGATCTTGTATTATTGATATAATATTAGGTGAAGTGTTTTGTCTTTTGTATTTTCTGGTAAAATCATTGTCATGAAAGCCCGCTTTGAGAAGTACTTGCTATCTCAATTCTTGTTAGAGAAAATTTCGTAGCTAACATCTAATTATAGATAAAGATAGTCCTTTGCAAAATCAAATCAAATTTTAAATTTGAATCAACTATTTGATCAAATTAATTAAAAATTTGATCAAATATTTGATTCAAATTCAAAATTTATTTAATTTTGCAGAGTACTAAATAAAGGTATTGTAATTTATTAAAATTATTGCAGAATATATTTTATTAATTTATTTAAAAAAATATATATATACTTTAAGCATAGATTCAGTTTTTAGAACAGAATGAAAACAAAAATAAAAACTGTTCCAACATGTTTCTGCTAGAGTTGCAAGAGAAATAGTTCATTCATAACAAGAAATTTGCTCATTTCATAATAATTCAGTAAAATAAAGGGAGGAATGAAAATAGCTTACAATATGTATTACATTTTTTGATATTGTTTTGTATATATTAGATGCCTTAAAAATATTACCAAAAACCAGGTTCATTTGATGTGCCATGCAAGGTATAAAAACTTTACAAGAAAATTCAACTCATAGTTGTCATCTAAAAAATTTAAAATTTTATATAAATTTATATATTGATATGTGCATCTAACTATTGATTACAAATACTTGCCTTGTAGCTGCATACTTGTTAACAGAATCTGATATATAACAATTAATTTTTATGTCTTTTTCTTCTGCAATTTTCATTATATCTTTAATAAAAAATTTCACATCTTCAGTTTTTGACTGCTGCTCACTAATATCATGTACATTTCAAACTAAAGCTTTTCCCTTAGAGGTAATCAAAACTACACCAAACAGATGCTCCTGTTTAATGTTTGTTCAGTTATCAAAAGCTATGATTACCTTGATTTTATCTTTACATATATATTTTAAAATGTCTTTATTTAATTTTTCTGAATATCTTGAAAGAATTTAATTACTTAATGCTTGTTGATTGGGCAACTTTAAGGCTGGTACAATAAAATTAAAAACATTTTGCATTTCATGATTCTCCATAAAAGTGAAAGAAAGTCTATTTAATATGATCATATATAATAACAAGTTTTCAAAATATGGTTTATCTTTTTCAGATAATGGACATGAAATGTAGCTATTAAAAGTTGCTTGCTTTTTTGGCACAGTTTTTGATATCTTAAAAGTTGTAGAAATTGTAGTAGAAATTTTATCATTGGATACAGAATCAATATTAGTTGCTAAGATTTTATTAAGTAATTAATATAAGATACAGTATAAACTAGCTTTTAAAATGCATTGATAATGAATAAAGTTACCTTTGTTGCTTTTTTTTTTTAGTATCTTTGGAAATTGGTCATGCAAGAATTTCTGAAATCTCATCTTTATTATATTCTGTATTAAAATTTCTATAATTTCTAAGGTGCTTTCGACATAACTTTGCTTTATTAAAAACAAAACATTCAGAATTTGTAAGTGCAACAGATAAGGTATACTTCCATACGTATGATAAACAAGCAGCCTTTTTATTTGCTTTTGGATTGTCAGATTCTGCCAAATAAAAAAACTCTTAAAAATTATGTTCTTTTCTACCTATTACATAATACAAAAAATATTATATTGAAAAAAAAGTATTTTTGTTAAGACAAAAAGTTCTCTGCTTGTAATTATTTAATGATAGTCTTCAATTGCTGATTCTCATGAGCATCTTTTGTGAATAGAAATTTGTCTTTTTTTACAATACTATAAAAAATTAAGCATAACATATTCAATTTCCATATATGCCAAGTTTACATTATGAAGTAAGAAAATTTTCAATTTTTTATTTTATTTATTTTTTTTCTTTTTTTGGGTTTTCTTTTTTTAGCACTAAGCAAACCATCTAATATGTTACAAATTTAAGTTATTATTTAACTAGATCTTCCTTTACAGAAGTATTAATGTGGTTTTATTTACCACTATATTGGAAATGTTCAATAATTTTTCTGTAAATAACATTTATCAATAATTTTTATATACCAAAAATTCTAAAAATATCGATACTTTTAATGAAAGGTAAGTACAATGTAACTTAGCACAAACATTCTTTTTGATACTCAATAATATAAAAAACTTGAATTGTCAAGTTATTGTTATAAACATTAAACTAGTTTTTAATAAATCATATATAGTGATAACCATATCGAAGCTCGCAGTTAAAGAGTATAATCATTACTAAACATCATAGTCAAAACTTATTATAAATTTTTTATAATAGTAGAATGCTAATTCATTACAATGAAAAGTATTTTTTATACTAAATAAACATCTTTTGAATCTTTAATTAAAGTTGTAGAATGTGTTATTATGATTCTATTGATAATAAAATCATTAAAATTGGCTATGCAAATTACAAGATATTAAGATTTTTTCTTTTTTTACTATATGAGTTTTTCTTATTGTCAAAAATGCTTGGCACTCTATCACTATATGAAAGTTATAATAAAATGTCCACCATATTTTATACTTTTTAACTGTGAACTGTCTTTAACTTTTTATTTGATAATCGATTTTGATTAGTTAAAGCATATTAGATGATCAGTTAATCAATGTTAAATGACCTACTAAGTCATTTGGATTTTTGGAATGACTAATGATCAGTTATTTGTTATTTGAGTTATTTGGTCATTTGAGGTCATTTGTTATCACTGTTTGAGAATATATTGCATGAAATAAGATATAGGGTCCTAAGAATACGAGTAAGTATCTAGACCTTCTTGAATAACTTATATAGCAGAAATGATCTAGTAATACAGTAAAGATTGCAGTACAAAGAGTTTAAATAAGAAACACTCCTAGTTGGATTGCAGGTATGACAGTTAGTATAAAACTATTAGCAGACTACTTAATTAGACACCAAAAGTGTATGTGTAACTAATTGTATTCTCTAATGTAAGGAAACTTCTTTAAGGCCTTAATCATAAGTTCTTATGTTTTAACTATACTAAATAAAAAGCCCTAGCTCCAAAAGAAGCTAGTTTAAGTTAAAAAAAAATATATTTACTATTATTTAGTTTAAGTAAGTATTTAACTATTAAATTTAAAAAATAAAAATAAGATATTTAAACAATATTATGAAATAATTGACTAACAAGAAAAAAAAAGCTTAATATTATAATTTAAAAGACTAAAAAAAATATTTTATTTACAAATATAATAAAAATGATACAATTATTATATTAAAGAATAACCTCTTTATCAGCTTATATACTGATTTTATTATAAAATTCTAATTTATATAATGAATTTAATATAATGCAACAACTTGCAACCAATAAGAATGCAATATATATATATTTATTTAATCATTATAAAAAAATCTAGCTTAACTCTATTATTAATTAGAACCAAATACATCATCAACTCTCCTCTGTAGATCTTTTGACCAAAATTTACAGGAAGCAAAAACATAAAATAACATTAAAACACACAAGCAAGCAATACAGAGAGCACTAAAAAAAAAGATAAAAAACATAGAGATACAGCTAACCAACTTAGAAACAAGAAATAAACTAGAGTAGCAATAAGCAATAGCAAGGAAACCAATCTTTAGCAAACTTTAATAAGCAAAATTAGTATATAGAAGTAGAACAAAACAGATTGGCAAAATTTTATTATTATTTTTGAAAAAGTAGAAAACCACCTAAGATTCTGAAAACAAACAGTCAGAACATGTGGTCAGCTAACAACAAAACAACAACAAACACAGCATATTACACAAATGATGATACTATTCTAATTAGAAAATAATAGATAAAAGTTTTTACATATACTGCTAAGCAAATAAAAAAACAACAAACTAAAATAGAAACAAAAGTACAATGCAGACTAGGCCTTTCAGATGACACAGAATTAATACAATATATAAGAGATTTTAGTAATAGAAATAGAAGATACATAGACAGCAGAATATTAGATAAAATATTATCAAAAAGAATAGATAACCCTAGCAATTTAGAGTATATAATGAAAGATCTTGCAATTTATGACCTAAAAAATATCACAATAGGTGATGTACTTTTTTATGGACAAGTATTTAAAGCACTCAAAAAAGCAGAGACCTTTTCATTAACAAAAAGCATGATAGAAAAATGGGCAGGCAAGCTTTTAGCAGTAGATCAAAATCCAAAATTATTTAACTACTTGTTGAGCATGAAGAGTAAAGAAATACTAAAAGAAGAAGCAGAAATAGAAGAAATAGAAAGAGATTAAAATATGGAAAACATGGATATAGTTTATGTTAAAAAGAAGAGACAACAATATGAAATGAGCAGTGATGAAGAAACTAGCACAAACCTAAGTGTAGTTATCAACCAAATACAAGATCTCAGCATATTAACATTATTATATAGAGAACCAATTGCATCAGATTTTCTACAGCAAACAGAAAAAGAAAAAACAGTAAATAAAAATAAAAAAAGTATAAGATTAATAACAGAGGAAAATTATGAAATGCCAATATTTGTAGACACAATAGAACAGAGTCAGTGGTTTTCAACAAATCATATATATGACAAAAGCAAATCATTCAAAGCAAATATGCCAACATATGCAATACCAAGTGCAAATAAAGAAGAAAGACTAAAATACACACAATGGATCCTATATGGCAATCATTACATTAAAACAATTAAAGAGGTTTTCAAAAATGAGAACAGTTAGATTGAGGTAGATTTCAATTATGAATTCAGTAAAGATGCAGCAATGAATAGAATCAAAGAGAAAGAAGAAGATTGGCTTAAACTAATTCTAGAAAAATCAAAAAGTCAAAAAAAGAAACTGAGCTGCCATACAATAAACAACAATAGAAAAGACAAGAATAAACTTAAAGAATACAAGAAATTTAATGAAAAGAAAGATGATAAAAATGCATACCTAGCAGAAGATGAATCAGAGCCATACACATGCCTAACAATATGGAACCTACCAGCAAACATTAATACAGAAGAAGTAGAATACATATGTAGAAACTTCAAAAAAACTCAAATTAAATGCATTAGAAGATCCAAATATAAAGCTTTAGCTATAGTTAGGGTGGAAAATATAAAAGAGAAAAACATACTATGGTTCTTACCAATTAGCATACACAGACTGGTAAGAGTAAGCATAGATGAAGAAAACTTTAACAAATACAATTCACAAAACCAATTTATAGCAAAAATTTTAGAACTTCCAAGTGATGCATTAGAAGTATTACTATTATAATGCTTGAAAAAAGAAGAGCAAAATTAGTATATATTCCATTCAACAGAAATGGAAATCAGAGAAGATCAGCAACAATAATATTTGCAACAGAGGAAGGAATGAATATGACACAAACAAAACTAATAAGATTTAACAATCACTTATTATTTTGGTCAAACTATGTTGAAAGAAAAGGAAAGAGTGAAAAGAAAAGTGATAATACAAGGTACAAGAGAATAGATAATAACAGGAAAAGCACTGATGAAGAAATAAATGAATATAACCAAAGAAAAGAAAGTAAACAAAGAAATAATAAGAATAGAAATAATAATAGAAACAGAGAGCATCATAGAGAAAACTTAACAATCAAAGATCAGAAGCAGGAGAAGATAAAGAAAAAAAAAAAACCACAATCACAGCTACAAGAAAAAACCTTATATATCGAAAATATCTTAGAATGAATACTAGAAAAATTAGAAAGACTAGAAGAAGATAGAGAGAAAAATAAGATAAACCAACCTAAATGCTCCTAAGAGTGCCACAGTTGAACTAATGAATATAGACAAAGAAATTGAAGTATTTTTGCAAAAAGAAAGAAAAGTCTTCAAGGAAAAAAGAGAAATTGGATTTCCTTGTCAGGAAAAAGAAGGTTACAGGGTAGGAAAAGAAGAAGTAAAAGTATAAAAACAAGACAGAAACTACTAAAAAAGAAATGGAAAGAAGAAAAGAAAGAAATAAAGTTAGAATGTCATAATATCAATGAACTCAAAACCAAAGGTTGAAAATTGGAGAATTTGCTCAGCTGGGCAGAAGAAAAAGAAATTGCAATACTAGAAATTATAAAAACAAATATTACTAAAAGAGAAGAAAGGTTTCTAATGTATACAGCAAGCAAGAACTATATAAGGTACTGGACAAATGCAGCAGAAGATAAGAAAAAAGGTTCAGGTATAGGAATACTAATAGAAGAACAATGGAAAAAGCATGTGGGTGCAGTCAAAAGAATAAGTGAATATATGATAGAGATTATGTTATACTTTAAGCAATTGGAGTTGGTAGTAATAGGAGTTTATATACTACCAAATAATAAGACAATAGGGAAAAACATCCAACAGAAGATTGTAGAAATAGTTACAAAACAGAAAAGACAAATACAAATT